ACACACACACATACACATACATACACACATATGTCAGAAGGCTGGCGGTTCAAACCCACCAGCTATTCCTCGGAAGGAAGATGGGGCAATCCTACTTCCGTAGTGATACTGCCTCGGAAACCCAAGAAGGGGTCTCTATGAGTCGGGGCTGACTCGATGGCACATAACAACAGCAACATATATATATAAAACAGATGAGATGGGAAGTGTTAAGCAGGGAGTGATGTTTAAAAAGACCATTCTGGCTGTCAGCAGAATCAAAGGAATATACTTGTGTCTCTCCAGTGATGTCTGTATGTCTGTGTGTCTGTGTTTTGACCCAACAGTGAGCCAGGCACTGACCAGGACCAAGCAGAGCCAAATCCCTGCCCTTGAGGGGCCAACAGCAATAACATAGGAATGATAAAAATGTAGCAAATCAAGAGATAAATAGATCAGGAGAAAGCAAGGCAGGGGCAAAGCATAGTGAGTGAGGCATCTGTGTTCAGGGGAGGCCTCCTGGAGGAGGTGATATTTAAGCCAAGACTTAAAGGAAGAGGCACAATCCATAAAGATGTGTCCCCAGCAGAGGGAGCAGCCAGTGCAAAGGCCCGGAGGTGGGAGCACACCTGGCTTGTTCAGGATCATCAAGGATGACGGTGCAGCTAGAGAGGAGTGTGGGAGAAGCAGCGGAGAGGAGGGGAGGGCAGGGAGATGACAGGACAGAGCAGACGGGGCCTCCCGGGCAGAAGCGAGGACTCTTGGTCATTCAGCCTGAGTGAGGTGGGAGCCCTGGACAGAGGAGGGACATGACTTGACTCAGGTTGTAATAGGCTCCTTCTGCCACATCCGCGTCTGTGTCACTGTCCACATCTGAGTCTGCCGCTGTCTGCCTGTCTGTCACCAACAGTCCCAACCTGGGCCTGGGGACCCAAGGGATCAGGCCCTGACACTGGCTTTGCCTGTGGGCCCACCAGCCCTGGGAGTCCCAGCCCGGGGTCCCTAGCTGTCGGTGCACCGCGTGGCTCTGACCAGCCCGCCCCTCCCCGCAGTCTTCCTGCTCCTCTCAGGAGCGCCTGCACCAGCTGCCCTACCAGCCCACGGTGGACGAACTCCACTTCCTGTCCAAACACTTCGGCAGTACCGAGAGCATCACCGACGAGGATGGCGGCCGCCGCTCCCCGGCGGTGCGGCCCCGCTCGCGGAGCCTCAGGTGGGCCAGGATCCCCCTCCAAACTGGCAGTCTGGGGGCTGCTGTACTGAGAGACCCTTGTCCCCATTGATAAATTGGGCTTGCAACAGGGCGGGTGACGGTTAGACATGGGAGGACTGGACAGGGTGTCCTTCTCTCCCTGCAGCCCCGGGCGCTCCCCCTCCTCCTACGACAATGAGATCGTGATGATGAACCATGTCTACAAGGAGAGGTTCCCGAAGGTGAGGCCGGGTGGTCCGGGCTTCAGCGCGCCTGAGCTCCGCCCGCCCCCTGGCGGCCGACGCCGGCACCGCGCCTGCTTCTGTCTCTCCCGCAGGCCACGGCGCAGATGGAGGAGAAGCTTCGAGACTTCACCCGCGCCTATGAGCCTGACAGCGTGCTGCCGCTGGCCGACGGCGTCCTCAGCTTCATCCACCACCAGATCATCGAGCTGGCCCGGGATTGCCTGGCCAAGTCCCGCGACGGCCTCATCACCACCGTCTATTTCTACGAATTGCAGGAGAACCTGGAGAAGCTCCTGCAGGACGTGAGTGCATGTCAGGCGTTGCGCCCTCAAATCAGTCCCAGACCCCCCATGCTCCCCACATCCATTCACAAAGCATCGACCAGGGGCTGGTCTGGAGGTGAGGACTCGGTGGTGGACCGGGAGGACGTGTTCCCGCCCTAAGTCTAACAGGGGAAACAGGAGTTCTGCCTAGCACAGTGCGTAAGGCATTTGACTGCTAAACAGAAGGCTGGCGGTTCAAACCCACCAGCAACTCCTCGGAAGGAAGGTTGGGCAATCTACTTCCGTAGTGATATTGCCTCGGAAACCCAAGGAGGGGTCACTATGAGTCGGAGACTGCTCGACGGCAGTGAGTTTGGTTTGTTTTTTTCCCTTCTTCAGAGGAGCTCTGGTGGCATAGTGGTTAAAGCATTCGGCTGCTAACCAAAAGGTCAACGACTCATCCCCCAGCAGATCCGCTGGGAGAAAGATGAGGCAGTCTGCTTCCGCAAAGATTTACAGCCTTGGAAACCCTATAGGTCAGTTCTACTCTGTCCCGTAGGGTCGCTGTGAGTCGGACTAGACTTGATGGCAGTGGTTGTTGGTGGTGGTGGTGGCCCTTCCTTCAGATCTTTACTGGAAGGTCTCTTCTCAGTGTGGCCTCCTACACACCCCCTCCCATTTCAAAATTTTCTGCTACACTCGTTGCCCACTTTCTCTTTATTTCCCTCCTTAGCATTTCACGTGGTCTGTCATGCTGTGTATGTTTGCTTCTTATTTGTCACTCCCCTGGAATGTCAAAGGGGGGAGACGTAGAGGGGAAGGTCTTTGTCTGCCATGTCCCTGGTGTTCTGCTCAGCACACAGTAGGTGCTTAATACACGAACGAATGAAATTAAAGGAGCTAATGTCCCCATACAGGCCAATGATAATGGATTGCCTACTGTGTGTTGGACACCATGCAGAGTATATGGCAGTGAACAAAACAGATACAAGTGCCTACTCTGATAGGGCTGACATGGGAGTGGGGCGGGCAGACAAGAAACGTGGGAGCCAATCAAGAAATTGCATGGTTTATTTCAGCTGATGCTAAGGGCTTTGAAGTAAGTAGAATGATGTGGTCTCAGAATGTTACGGGCGCCCTTGTAAAGTCCAGGATGCCTCCCTGGAGGAGAGGACATTAAAATTAGGACAAGAATAATGAGGAAGTGGCAGCTATGAGAAAAGTTGGGGGAGAGTGCAAACCAGGAGGAACAACCTGTGTAAAGATCCTGAGGTAGGAAGGTGGGCTGGGAAATTCCAGGAACACAGAAGCCATGAGGCTGGACCACTGTGAGGGGATGGGGTCAGAGAAGGCTGCAGGAGCGAGAGTATTGGGCTTCCGGCCCCAGACCTGTAGCCCAGACCTGCAGGGCAGCACATTAGTCTCAGTCCTAGGTTTGAGATCCATAGAAGTTGAGAGTGCAGACTTCAGCCAGCCTGGGTTTGCGTCCTGACTTATAACTTACTTGCTGTTTGCCTTTGCCAAGTCACTTAACCTCTCTGTGACTTAGTCCTTCTACTGTCAAAAGGAGATTCACTCATTCATAAATTCCACAAGCGTTTATCAAGCACCTACTGTGGACCCAGTTCTGATAGTGTAGTGATTAAAGCATTCTACTGCTAACTCTAATACCGGTGGCTCAAACCCACCAGCCAGTTGCTCCATGGGAGAAAGATGAGGCAGTCTGCTTCTGTGAAGATTTACAGCCTTGGAAACCCTCTAGGGCAGTTCTCCTCTGTTCTAAAGGGTCACTGTGTTTCCAGCCAAACAAAGTACAGGCATGTGAGTTAAACATTTACCTCAAGTAGACACACGCCCTGGAGAGAACAATCATGGGAGAAGGAAGGGCTGCTTATGCACAGGGAGATAGCTCAGGGTGCAGAAGAGTATGAAGGGATGGACACTGGGAGGAGGTAACTATGGGGAGGAAGTGGGAGGGGAGCTGCTGCATTGTAAATTTTGGTCAATGACATGAGACAAAGTATATGTGAACTGCTGTATGAAAAGTGAATTTACTCTGTAAATCTTCACCCAAATCCTAAAAAAAAAAAAAAGGGGTCGCTGTGAATTGGAATTGACTTGATGGTAGTGGGTAGGTGGACCCAGAATTGTAGAAACTGGGGAATCAGATGGAAATAAAGCTAACAAAAATCCCTGTCCTTGGGGCGGGGGAGCAGAGAAGGGAAGCAATAGGTATCAGGGCCAGGGCTGGGGTGAGGCAGGTGATTTTTTTTTTTTTCCAGAGCATTACAATAGTTGAAAAGATACTGAAAATTAGGTGTAATCAAGCCACAGTATTAAAAAAGAAAAGAAAAAAGAATTTGCTGTTGTTCAACTAGCCTGGCTTTAGTGGAAACAAACTCATCAATAATGTATTTATTAAAGCCATTAACTATTTAAAAATACATTAAAACACATAGACTAGATTATAGTTTTCCTGCTTCCTCAGCATGGCCCTGTTGGACCCTGTCTTTATGTAAAATTTCGATATTTTATTTATCATGACGGTTTTTTTTTTTTTTCTGCATTAATTAGGATTTTTAAAAGCATTGCATTAGTTGTCTCCATGACTGAAGTTTTTCTTTAAATTGTGATTTGGGTGAAAGTTTACCAAGTAAATAATTTTCTATTCAACAGTTCATACACATTTTGTTTCATGATATTGTTTGTTTGTTGTTGTTGTTGTTATGTGCTGTCAAGTCGGACCCAACTCATAGCGACCCCTCCTTGGGTTTCCGAAGCAGTATCACTATGGAAGTAGATTGCCCCATCTTCCTTTCGAAGAGTGGCTGGTGGGTTTGAACTGCCAGCCTCCTGGTTAGCAGTCAAGTGCCTTAGACACTATGCTACCAGAGCTCCTCATGATATTGTTTGCAATCCCCATAATGTAATGGCTCTTTTCCCACTTCCTCCCTGTGGTTACCTCTTCCCTGTGTCCTTCTTTCCTATGCATTCCTGCCGCTGAGTTATCTACCTGTGCAAACACTGCCCTCCTGATCTCACATGATTGATTGGTCTAAGAAGTATACCTACCTGGTGTAAATGTTCACCCTATATACCTGTCTGTTGTTTGACTAGAAGACACAGGAGTGAGTTCAGTTCCAGGCCCAAATGGTGACTAGGGCCATAGTCTTGGAGGTTTCTCTATCAGACCGGTAAGCCTGGTCTTTTTCATGATTTTGAGTTTTGTTCCGTATTTTTCTTACATTCTATCCAGGATCTCCTACACTGATCCCTTTCCAAATGGTTGACAGTGATAGCCAGGCATCATCTAGTTCTTCTGGTCTCAGGGTCATATAGGCTGAGGTTCGCATGTTCCACTAGTCCTTTGGACTAATTGTTTCTATGTGTCTTTGGTTTTCTTCTTCTTTGCTCCAGAGAAGGAGAGACCAGTTGTTGCATCTTAGATTTCCGCTCTCAAGCTTTTAAGACCCCAGTCACTATGCACCAAAGTAGGATGTAGAACAATGTTTTTGTGTAGTATGTTGTGCCAACTGATCTTGATGTCCCCCATGATCAAGACGACTGTGTGTTTGGATGCACTCGCTGGCCTCACACTGTCCCGGCCCTGATAGGCATGATTTGTTGTTGTTGTTGTTTGTTTGTTATGTGCCGTCGAGTTGGACCCGACTCATAGCGACCCCTCCTTGGGTTTCTGAGGCAGTATCACTACGGAAGTAGATTGCCTCATCTTCCTTCCGAGGAGTGGTTGGTGGGTTTGAACCGCTAGCCTTCTGGTTAGCAGTCAAATGCCTTAGACGCTACGCTACCAGAGCTAGCTTCTTAGAAGGGGTGTTGTGTGACATAAAAAGGAAAAGTTACAGAAGGGAAATGGTGATTGAGGGAGCCACCAGGAGGTGGGTGCAGGCTTAGGTTGGCGTGGGGGAGTCAAGGCAGGCCTCGGAGGAAGGGGCTTCTGAACAGAGACCTGAAGGAAGTGAGCAGGGGAGCCCTGTGGGGATCTGAGAGCAGAGCCTGCCAGGCAGAGAGATATAGGACTGTTCTGAAGATGGATTGAATGAGTTGGTACATGGAAGGGTTAAGCCAGTGTTTGCTATAATAATAATTGTTACTTTACTTTGCGGCCTGGACCTCACTTTTCTCCCCTGGGAAATGGGACAACAGCAGTGGCACTTCGTGGCTTGGGAGCGGGGTCTGACTGCGTCTGGGTGCCCGTGAGCCCATTCCTCCTGTGCCCCCGCTGCAGGCCTACGAGCGCTCGGAGAGCTTGGAGGTGGCCTTCGTCACTCAGCTGGTGAAGAAATTGCTTATAATCATCTCACGCCCCGCGAGGCTGCTAGAGTGCCTGGTGAGGGGCCGGGCGTGGGCGGGGGGGCTGGCAGGGGCCCCTCAGAGCGTGCTGCCAGCTCACCCCTGCCCTGCCTCAGGAATTCAATCCTGAGGAGTTTTACCACCTGCTGGAGGCAGCTGAGGGCCATGCCAAGGAGGGCCACCTTGTCAAGACGGACATCCCCCGTTACATCATCCACCAGCTTGGCCTCACCCGCGACCCTTTCCCAGGTGCCAGTGGGCGGGGGCAAGGGGGACTGTGGGGAGGTAGACAAGACTCTAGCCCCTGGCTCACTGTCAGTCCCTTCCTAGACGTGGTACATCTGGAAGAACAGGATAGCGGCGGCTCCAACACACCTGAGCAGGACGACCTCTCGGAGGTAAGGCCAAGGAGTCCTCAGCACTCTGGCTCCCGGGCAGCCGACCAGGCCTGGGCTTCACATGCTGGCTCTGTCCCTCAGACTATGCGGTACTCGGCTCTCAGTCCACCACTCTGAGCCTCGGTTTTCCCATCTGTAAAATGGGGTTAATAATAGCTCTTCTTGCATGGAATTGGTGTGGGTGTTTGATGAAATATATATAACATAAAAACTTACCATTGGAAGTGTATAGTCCAGCATGTTTGGTATTTTATAGTATCATATAACCATCACCAGAAAGTTCCAGAACTTTTTCATCACTCCAAAAGGAAACCCCATACCCATGAAGCAGTCACCCTCAGTTCCACGCCCCACCCCACCCCACCCCAGTCCCTGGCACCCACAAGTATGTCTGTGTATGGATTTGCCTGTTCTGAACATTTCATTTAAATAGAATCCTACAATATGTGATCTTTTGTGTCTGGCTTTGTTCACTTAGCATAATTTTTCTTTCTTTCTTTCTTTTTTTTTTTTTTTTTTGAGATTCAGCCATGTTGTGGCATATAAGACTTTCATTCCTTTTTTTTTTTTTTTTAAATTGTGATTTGGGTGAAAGTTTATAGAGCAAATTCATTTTCCATACAGCAGTTCGTACACATTTTGTTTTGTGTTCTTGACTGCAATCCCCACACTGTAACAGCTCTCTTCCCACTTCCTCCCTGTGGTTACCTCTTCCCTGTGTCCTTCCCTCCCATGCACTCCTGCCCCCTGAACTATCTCCCTGTGCAAACACTGCCCTTCTGTTCTCCAATGATTAATCATTCCAAGGAGTGTGTCTACTTATATGTTTTTTTAAGACTAAATATTCTGTTAAGTAAAGGTGCTACATTTTGTGTGTCTGCTCATTCCTTGATGGACATTTGGGTTGTTTCTACTTTTTGGCTGTTGTGAATAGTGCTACTATGTATATTTACGTACAGTGCTTGTCTGAGTGCCTGTTGTTTCGGTTCCTTCAGGGAATAGTGAGGAGTGCAGGTACTGGGTAATTCTGTGTTTAACTTGCTGGGGAACCCAGCATGGGGCTTTGAGTGGATTGACTGTCATCACGTGTGTCACCAACTCAGCTTGGTGAAAGTGACCACAGGTCCCCCCCACGGGCCAACAATACTTTGGTGGGGGTTCCAGATGTCTAGTGCAGGCTGCCTGCCATAACGCTCACATATGTGCTTTCTCTGGACTGCCTGGTGTTTTTCTTTTTTTTTAAATTGGAGGCAAAATGTAAAAATCAGAAGATTTTGTCTTAAGAGCTGTGTTTGGGACTTCTGTTCAGAAATTGGAAGGTCTGGCAACACTGCGGTGGAGCTGATTGGCACTCTTTGGGGTTGCCCTGTGAGATGGGGTGGCTGTCCCCCAGTTTCCTGAGCCCCCACTTAGCCTTCCGGGCCTCTGAAGGCCTTGAGTTTATGACTTTTGTTTTACTGTCTGTGTAGTCACACACGTATACGTACACATCTCTCCTTCATACGCATGGTTGAAAAGACTCTCACCATCCATGCCATCTGTTTAATTTTTTGAATAGGTAATGGAATGACATGACTCAAATGTCTAAAACTCTCAAAAGGTTTTTATCTCTAATTGATGCTTGTAGGATTCTACATAATTCCATTCAATCAAACTTGTTAATTGAGTGACTCAAATCTTTCATATCCTTATTCAGTTTTCTCCCCCTGGTTGATCTAATAGTTACTGTGAGATACATGTTAAATCCTTGTTTTGAGCAATTTCTTCCTGTAATTCTGTCTATTTTTGGGTCAGATCTTTTAGTCTACATTCTTAGGCTTATACAAATCCACTGTTTTATCATAGGTAGATTTTGTGTGTATGTGTGTGTAATCTTTATGTTGTCGCTGGGTGGTGTAAATGGTTAAACACTTGACTACTAGCCAAAAGTTTGGCAGTTCAAACCTTTTCAGAGTCCCCTTGGAAGACAGGTCTGGTCATCTGCTTGTGAAATGTCCCAGCCTTGAAAACCCTATGGAGCGGTTCCACTCACACACATGGCCCACCACGGGTTAGAATTGACTCAAAAGCAACTAACAACAAAAACAATATTTATGTAATATATGTCTTTGTCCCTAATAAAATAAAAATAATTTGCCAAAAAGAGATAGAGTGAAAAATCTTAACTCTCATCTTTGTTCCCCACTGCCCTATAGTCCCCACATATCATTAGATATTTATGTTTTTCCCACTTGCTTTACACAAAGGGTAGCATACCGTAATGCTGTCTACTGTATTTTCTACTCAATAGAATCTTTTGGAAATCTTTCTGAATCGGTGCAGAGAGTACCCTTTCTTCTTAACAATGGCACAGGATGCTTTAAACAGATGCCCACATGCGCTTATTTCACCAACTTCCTGTAGATGGACACATGAATTGTTGCAGATTTTATAGTCAGCAAGGTTGTACCTATGTCATTTTTCCCATGGGCATGCGTATCTGTATTGTGAATTAGAAGGTGAAATGGCTGTATCTAATAATACATGTGTATATATTTCCAAAGAGCCTTGCATAGGGGATGTACCAATTTGCACTCCCAACAGCAAAGTATTATTTGTTGTTGTTATATGCCGTCAAGTTGGACCCAACTCATAGCAACCCCTCCTTGGGTTTCTGAGGCGGTATCACTATGAAAGTAGATTGGCCAACCTTCTTTCTGAGGAGTGGCTGGTGGGTTTGAACCGCCAGCCTTCTGGTTAGTTACTAGAGCTCCCATAGCAAGGTAAAGTGTCTATTTCCCCAAATCATTGGCCACAGAATATGTCAACTTTTGTACTTGATGCCAGTCTTTTGGGTGAAAAAATGGTATCTGGGGGTAGGTAGCTCTGGTAGCATAGTGCCTAAAGGCATTTGACTGCTAACCAGAAGGCTGGTGGTTCAAACCCACTCCTCAGAAGGAAGATTGGGCAATCTACTTCCGTAGTGATACCACCTTAGAAACCCAAGGAGTGGTCGCTAAGGGTTGGAGTCAGATCCAACTCGATGGCAGTGAGTTTGGTTTGTTTTTGGTTGGAGTAGTTTTAATTTGCCTTTCTGTCATATGTGAGGAAGCATCTTCTTACAAATGATATATTGCTCACATCTTTTGCCCATTGTTTTCTCTTCTGCTGTTACTGATTTCTGCGAGTTCTTCCTACAGTGTGTTAGGGAGATTTTCCATTTTATAGACTTCCTGCCATCTTTCCTAATAGAAAGAAACTACGAATACAGCTTCAGAGTCAGACAGTCTTGGGCTGAAGTCTTGATCTCGATCTCCTTCGCTGTGGCACTTGCAAGGACCCACCTTTTCCGCACCTCAGTTTTCTTGTGTGTGAAATGAAATGAGGACAGGCTCAGCCTTATGATGGTGCTGATGACTTCTGTCTTCCTCCTTCAGGGTCGTAGCACCGCCACCAAGGCCAAGAAGCCTCCTGGGGAGAACGACTTTGAGACCATCAAGCTCATAAGCAATGGTGCCTACGGGTGAGCCACCCGGGGCTCTGGCGGGGGGCGGGGGGCGGAGGCCGGGTGTCTTGGAGGTGACGACCGGTCCCCGCTCTCTCCCCCTGCAGTGCTGTCTACCTGGTGCGGCACCGCGACACGCGGCAGCGCTTTGCTATGAAGAAGATCAACAAGCAGAACCTGATTCTGCGCAACCAGATCCAGCAGGCCTTCGTGGAGCGCGACATCCTCACCTTCGCCGAGAACCCGTTTGTGGTTGGCATGTTCTGCTCCTTTGAGACCCGGCGCCACCTCTGCATGGTCATGGAATATGTGGAAGGTGTGGCTGCCCCCCAGCTTACAGAGAAGATAGGGGTGCACGCTGGGTGGGGCTATTGGATGGCCTGCTTGGTCCCAGTCTCCACCCATGGAGCCATATTTACTATCCACCCCAGAGCTCTGGTAGCACAGTACCTAAGGCACTTGACTGCTAACCAGAAGGCTGGAGGTTCAAACCCATCAGCCACTCCTCAGAAGGAAGATTGGGCAATCTACTTCTGTAGTGATTTGTTGTTGTTGTTGTTATGTGCCATCGAGTCAGCCCTGACTCATAGCGACCCCTCCTTGGGTTTCCGAGGCAGTATCACTACGGAAGTACGATTGCCCAACCTTCCGATACTGCCTCAGAAACCCAGGGAGAGGTCTCTATGAGTCTGGGCCGACTCCACGGCACATAACAACAACACCACCCATATGTTTAGCCAGTATTTATCTGTCTATTCTTTGGTCTGTCAGTTCCACCCATTTATTTACCCAGCTATCTATTTATCTCACTTCTTTTTGTCCAAGGATAGATGCACTCATTCAAATATCCCTCCTTCCATCCATTCATTTCTTTATCCATTTCCTCACCCGTTCATTCATTTGTCCTTCTGTCCTATTTGATTCATCTATCAGCTGATACATCTATTCATCTGTCCATCTATCTTCCCATCCATCTTTTGGCATATTTCCCCATTCTTTCATCATCTGTTTATCCATCCATCCATTTGTCATCCATAGTTTTATCCATTCCACATCTATCTTATCCACATATATGTTCATCCATTCATCCATGGTCATCCACCAGTTTACGTACCCATCTTTGTATCCATCTCACTATCAATCTATATATTTTCACCTGTTTTTCATCCACTTCTGCATCCATCTATCCATCCCCGCATGCATGTATTCATCCAAATAGTACCCTACCCATCACCCAAACACACGCGTATTGTGGCTCTCAGGGCATGCACATGATCTCATGGGACTATAGCTATTTTGCTTCCTAGCTTTAGTCAACTACCCCTCACCAAATGTCTCCTGATTGTCTCCCTCATGCCACATGCCGGGCTAAGTGCTGGTGGCACAGTGGGGTCCCAGACAGGTACACCTCTCCCTCATAGAGGTTACATTTCTGGTCTTTGTAGACAGACCATAAACAAGCAAAAGAAGACCAGTTTGTTTCATGTAGTAAATAGCAGCCGAGACCATAAGGTGCAAGAGAAAATGATAATGCAGTGACAGGGGGCTTCCCCAAGCCTGGACTATATCAGGAAGGGGGAACGCTAAGTCTCTGAGGTGTCTGGATTTGGAGGAGCATCCAGAAGCCAATGGAGCTGGAGCCAGGTGAACAAGAGGAAGGATGGGGAGAGAGAGGGGCAGAGAGAGGGCGAGACTGAGTGTGCAGGCCCTGGAAGGGTCCAGAATGGCTTTGGGATTCATTCTGAGTTTAGCAGGAAGCCACTGGGGGATGTTAAGTAGAACTGACATGGTCTGATTTATGTTTTTAGAATTTCCATTTGGCTGCAGGGAGACCAGGGCAAGGATGACCATGTGAGTCAGGACCAGTGGTGATGGGTGATGGCAAAGGAGGTGGAGAGAAGGGGGCAGAATCGGGACCTCTCTGGTGGGTTGAGCACATAATAGGTGATCCGTCAGTGCCTCTCCTGAGCATGGCCCAGTCCAATATCGTCTGGAAGACAACTCAGCTTAGTTCTCAACATAAGTGTGTATCAGAATTACCTGGGGCTATGGCCAAATACAGATCCCTGGCCCCACATCAGGAGCTCTGGTGGCGTAGTGCCTAAGGCATTTGACAGCTCACCGGCGAAGGCTGGTGGTTCAAACCCATGAGCCACTCCTCAGAAGGAAGGTTGGCCAATCTACTTCCGTAGTGATACCACCTCAGAAACCCAAGGAGGGGTCACTATGAGTCGGGTCTGACTCCACAGCAGTGAGTTTGGTTTCGTTTTGGGCCCCACACCCAGAGATTCTGAAACCCAGCTAAATCTGGGTCAAGCAGAAAGAAAGAAGGGAGGAAGGAAGGAATTGCACATGTGATTGAAAAATCATTCACCTTCAGGAATAGCTGTATCTAGGTGCCCAACACATGTCATCAGGAATCTGTCTCCATCTCTCGGCTCTGCTGTCCCCTGTGTAGGTGGCCCTCTAGACAGGCCCTGATGTAAAAGTGCCACCCAGCAGCTCTCTGCTTAACATCATGCCAGTTTGGTAAATCTTGTGGAAAAGTGCTGGTCTGTCCCCAAAGTCCAAGGGCTGACTCACTGGATCAGCTTGGATTACATGCTGACTGACCCACTTTATGTGGAAAGAAATCAGACCCTTTTTAAGAAAAAAAAAAAAAGGAATTGATGTTGGTGAGACAAAAGTACAAAGATGCATTAGAATAACTCTGGTGGGAGCTAGGAATTTGCATTTTAAGACTCTTCAGCCCTCAAGGTTCAGATGCCAGGAGGTTGCAGGCTGCACTCCCAGATGTAGTCAATTAGCAGGCAAGCTGTGGTCCGGAGCAGACTGGTGTTCAAACCTCATATCTACCATCACTCCCTGCGCAACCCAACCACTTGTCAAGCCTCAGTCCCCCTGGGTGTAAAATAGGTTAATCACACTGACGTGGGGAGATGAATAAGAGGGTGAGAGAAGCTTGGCAGAGGACAGCTCTCTGCGTGACCTGGGGAGAGGGAGGCCACTCTGAGCCTCAGTTGGCCTTATCTGTGACATGGGCACAGACTAGCGGCTGCTCTGTGCATGTCAAGTGCTCAGCTCTGGGCCTGGGGACCCTCCCTCTTCACAAGGGCCTGCTCGCTCACCTGCAGGCGGGGACTGCGCCACCCTGCTGAAGAATATCGGGGCGCTGCCCGTGGAGATGGCTCGCATGTACTTCGCCGAGACGGTGCTGGCGCTGGAGTACTTGCATAACTATGGCATCGTGCACCGCGACCTCAAGCCTGACAAGTGAGCCTTGACACTTTCCATCAGTCGGTGCCCTTGGGAAGCCCTGATGAGCAGGGCCGGGGGGCAATGCCGGACGAGCTCCCCTCTGAGCCCCGGACCTGTGTCTGCAGCCTCCTCATCACCTCCATGGGTCACATCAAGCTGACGGATTTCGGCCTCTCCAGGATGGGCCTCATGAGCCTCACGACCAACCTGTACGAAGGCCACATTGAGAAGGACGTCCGCGAGTTCCTGGACAAACAGGTATGTGTGCGGGTGTGGGGGTCCCCGCGGGTGGAGTGATCCAGCAGGACCGTGGGGCCAAGGGCCTCATGGGGGGCGCAGCATCCGCTTGAGGGCCCTCCTACGGCCAGGGCGCAGGCTGACGGCCTGCCCCCAGGTGTGCGGGACCCCTGAGTACATCGCCCCCGAGGTCATCCTGCGCCAGGGTTACGGCAAGCCGGTGGACTGGTGGGCCATGGGCATCATCCTCTACGAGTTCCTGGTGGGCTGTGTGCCCTTCTTTGGAGACACCCCTGAAGAGCTCTTTGGACAGGTCATCAGTGGTACGTGCCTCTGCGGTGGGTGGGTGGGAGCATGGGGGCTGGGCCTACCTAGGGCCCTGGGGACTTTAATGACCCCCCAGCCTCATCCTTGCCCTGCAGATGACATTTTGTGGCCCGAGGGGGATGAGGCCCTGCCCACAGACGCCCAGCTCCTGATATCCAGCCTCCTGCAGACCAACCCTCTGGTCAGGCTTGGGGCAGGTAAGGGGCCTCCTGTGCAGAGGGGCTGAGAGCTGAGGGCCCGGGGCTTCTGGTGGTTGTCGGGGTCCATAACTGCACACCCAGCCTGGACTTTGAGTGCTATGGCCTGCTGCAAAGACAGGAGGGGGAGACTGAGCTCTCTGGCTGAAATTCACTCTCTCCGGGCCCCCTGCCCAGGAGGTGCCTTTGAAGTAAAGCAACACAGCTTCTTCCGAGACCTGGACTGGACAGGGCTGCTGAGGCAGAAGGCGGAGTTCATCCCCCACTTGGAGTCTGAGGATGACACGAGCTACTTCGACAGTGAGTGGGGACAGAGGCAAGACCTGGATGCAGGGTGGGATCAGGGAGAGGTACCCTGGGGTAAGGCCTGGGTCAGAAATGAGACCAGACTCCTGTGGTGGAGGTGACGGGCTGAGATTGCGTTGGGGGCGTGGCCTGCTCCGGTGGTGGAACAAGATGGGCGGACCAGGTTTGGGGGCGGGACTCTGTCTGAGATGTAAGTAAGAAATGAGATTAGGATAGATTGGGTCCTAGACAAGGGCAAGTTCTAAGTTTGGGCCTGGGTCTGGGCCTGGAGCCACGTTAGGACCTAGAATGTAGCAGAGACTTGGGCTGGCCTGTGGTGGCCAGGGTGAAGAGCATTGGAGGCAGGATCTGGGGTGTAGCCTCACTGGAGGCTGAGCTGGAACCTCGCGAGAGCTCCCCGCAACCCCGCCGGCTGGAGCGGGAACCCAGTTTAGGGCGGGGCCTCCGTCAGATCCGAGAATGAGGCAGAGGTGTGGCCTGGCTTGCTGGCCAGGCTTGAACCCAAAAGGGGGTCTGGTGGAGTGTGATCTGAGGTCTGGTCTGGCCCCCGTCTCTTGAGTTCACAACTCACACTCTCCCCAGCCCGCTCGGACAGGTATCACCACGTGAACTCGTATGATGAGGATGACACGACCGAGGAGGAGCCCGTGGAGATCCGCCAGTTCTCCTCCTGCTCCCCGCGCTTCAGCAAGGTGGGCCCTTGTAGGGCTTGGGGAGGCCTGAGTAGGGCTGGAGTTAGCGGGCAAGACCTGGACAGAGGAGGGACTGGCGGAGGAGCACTGGCGGAGGAGGCCGGTCTGGAATGGGGCAGGGCCGAAGGCACTGTCAGGAGCAGGGTTCCGGGCACCCAACGTCTTAGACTGGGCAGGTTCCTGAGGGAGCGAAGGTCTAAGAGTGTTGAGGTCTGGGGGAGGCAGGGCGGGGAATCTGTGACAGGCCTTTAGCACTGACTGGAATCTAAGGGGAACCTGGACACTTGTGGATAGGAGGCCCACGGGAGGACGGAGCTAGTTCTGGGTTGGGCGGGGTCAGGTCTTGGGATGAAGAGACTGAGCCGCGGGGGCGGGGCTTCGGCTTGGGCGTGGCCTGGGCGAAGGCGCGGGAAGGCCGGCCAAGATCTTGCTTTGAGGAGGAGCTTGTCGTGGGGGCGTGGCCTAGCCTGGGTGAGGGCAGATCTAATTGGAGGGGTCTGGGAGAGGGCGGGGCTGGTGGGAGACCAGATTGGTCCCTGCTTGTGCAGGGTACCGCCAGAATGGTGCAGGGCCTAACATATTGTGAGCTGAGCTGAACTGAGCGAGGCCGGCCTTGGACGGAAAGAGTGTGGATAGAGCGGGTTTGGACTTGGGAAGCTGATGGGTCCAGGAGAGAAGACTGCACCTGAGCTATCCTTGCCTATCCTCACAATCTTTGCAGGTGTACAGCAGTATGGAGCAGCTGTCGCAGCACGAGCCCAAGACCCCAGTGACTGCGGCGGGGAGCAGCAAGCGGGAGTCAAGCGCCAAGGGTCCGGAGGAGAAGGTGGCCGGCAAGCGTGAAGGGCTGGGTGGCCTGACCCTGCGCGAGAAGACTTGGAGAGGGGGCTCCCCGGAGATGTGAGCAGGGGTGGCGCTGGTCGGGGGCGGGACCGAAGGGGCAGAACTTCTCTAACCACACCCTCATTGTGCAGCAAGCGCTTCTCGGCTTCTGAGGCTAGCTTTCTGGAGGGAGAGGCCAGCCCCCCACTAGGCGCACGCCGCCGCTTCTCAGCCTTGCTAGAGCCCAGCCGTTTCAGCTCCCCTCAAGAGGATGAGGATGAGGCGCGGTTGCGCAGGCCTCCCCGGCCCAGCTCTGACCCTCCCTGCTCGCTGGATGCACGAGCTCCAAAGGAGGTGGCTCCAGGAGACAGCACCCTCAGCTCCGGGGATCCTGAGGCCAGTAAGTGCCCCCTTGTTCCACCTTCCCCAATTCTCCGGTGTCCATATATTGCGTATTCCATAAGGTACTGTAAATGCAGACTCTCATTTAACCTTCACACTCCAACCTGGAAGTCTCAACAATGAAAGGAACACTTTTTCCCCCCATGCCAGGGTCAGACCATCAACACCTGTATTTGAGACCTTCTCTGTATCAGAAGCTGTGCTGAATGCATGTTATCTGCATTCATGAAAGGCACAGTGCAGTAGTGGAGTGAAGTGGGAAAGGATTCCAGGCAGAGGGAACAACATGTGGAAAGGCCTTGGCCTTGGCCTGGCCTCTGACCCATATGTTTTTTGTTGCAGCTGATCGCACACGCCCTGGAGACCTCTGCCCACCCCTGAAAGATGGCGACCCATCAGCCCCTAGAGCTACCAATGACCTGGTTCTTCGCCGGGCCCGGCACCAACAGCTGTCAGGCGATCCCACAGTGGAGAAGCGGCCTTCTCGAACCGGGGGCAAAGTGATCAAGTCAGCCTCAGCCACTGCCTTGTCTGTCATGATTCCTGCAGGTGACACAGGGCCCCAGCTAGTAGGGGAGGGGGTGTTCTGCTTGAGCCTGGACTGGCCAATAAAAAAACTGCATATCCCCCCTCCACAGTGATTGGTTCAAGGATGGACTAATGAGAGTCTGCCCTGGGACATCTTACACGGGAGGTCTGTAACTTGTTGGCCCTGGCACCTGACCATAGTTTGTATCTGCAGTGGACCCGCATGGCAGCTCACCCCTGGCCAGCCCCATGTCCCCAAGATCTCTGTCCTCCAACCCATCCTCACGGGACTCCTCGCCCAGCCGGGACTACTCACCAGCTGTCAGTGGGCTTCGCTCCCCCATCACCATCCAACGCTCTGGCAAGAAGTATGGCTTCACACTGCGTGCCATCCGCGTCTACATGGGGGACTCAGATGTCTACAGTGTCCACCACATTGTCTGGGTGAGCAGTCATGGGTGGGGCCGCATCCTGGACTTTGTGAGGGGAGAGAAGGAGCCACCAGGGATGAAGGAAAACATGCACCCTAGAGCCAGGCATCATGGGTGAGAATCATCTGTACAATGGGGACAGTAATTACAATTCATAGGATGTTGAGAGATTACACTGCATGTGGACCTAGGTGTTTGACACATGAACTTTGAACATTTTCTTTGTTACCAATGCTATTAACCCTGCCCTGTGGGGTGCTCCATCTCCAGCATGTAGAAGAGGGGGGCCCAGCCCAGGAGGCAGGGCTCTGTGCTGGGGACTTGATCACCCACGTGAATGGAGAGTCTGTGCACGGCATGGTGCATCCTGAGGTTGTGGAGCTGATCCTTAAGGTGAGTTGGGGGGGGGGGCGCAGTGAGAGGGTGGGGCCGATCCTGGGGCCCTGGAGCTTCCTGAGAAGCCTGCATATTCCCCACCCCCTGCTGCCCACAGAGCGGCAACAAGGTGGCAGTGACCACAACGCCCTTTGAGAATACCTCCATCCGCATCGGCCCCGCACGGCGCAGCAGCTACAAGGCCAAGATGGCTCGGAGGAACAAGCGGCCCTCTGCCAAGGAGGGCCAGGAGAGGTGGGCAGCAACAAGTATGGTAGACCAGGCTATCGACAGAATGAATCTGTGTCTGGGAGCAGTGGATGGGGCTAAGTTAGGACCTGCCCAAGTGAGAAAAGGAGAAGTGTGCAAAGTGTCCAGGGCCACTGAGTGAAAAGCAAAGACAAGAAGACAGGAAAGTGAGAGAAACCAGGAAAGGAAGCTGCACCTGGATTCTAGACTGGGAGAAAAAGATTGTGGTAGTGTCTAGGGCAGGTGGGCGAGCCCAGCAGTTGATGACTGAGTCCACACTGGGATGGAGGGCCCATGCCAGACTGGTGATTCTACCCTGCTAGATGTGTTTAGACTGGATGCATCCCATTGCCATGGAGTTGATTCTGACACATAGTGATGCTATAAGAGGGTAGAACTTTGTGGAGCAGACTGCTTCCTCTTTTTCCCTGTGGAGCCGCAGGTGGGTTTGAACTACCAATGTTTTGGTTAGCAGCTGAATGCTGAATCACTGCACCACCAAAACTCCTTTCTGTAATCATAGGAGAAAGGCTTTGTATCTGGAATGAGTGAACCAGCTGGGACTGGACCAACTGAAATAATTTCTTCCTTAATAGGAGGAACTAGGAAGGATGGGTGTCTCCAAGAGAACGTTCAGTATTGCTAAGTGGTTTTGACCTGGGAAATGAGTGGGTGGGTTTGGCCTGGGAAATGAGTGGGTGGGGATTTGAGTGAGAGGAGCCAGACAGAACTGAACCAAATGCATTTCTTCCTGCCCTGAGTGAGTTGTAGCTGGTGAGGGAGGGGCTAGGAGAGGTTGATTCTGTTTTGATGGGTGTTTCCACTCTGAACTGGGCGTGGCCAGAAAGCGGTGGGTGGAGCTCAAGTGGGAGGAGCTAAGCTGGGCTGAGCTAAGCAAAGTTCTTCCTGTCTTGATAGATGTGTTGTAGCTGGAGAGGGAGGGGCTAGGAGGAGTGGGCGGTTCCAGGAGCTGTTGGGAGGACTTAAAGTGGGAGAAGCGGGGAGTTCTGGAGTCTGGTGAAGGTTAGGTGGTCCTTCCCATCCTGTTCCACCAGCAAAAAGCGTAGCTCCCTCTTCCGGAAGATCACGAAGCAGTCGAACCTGCTGCACACTAGCCGCTCGCTGTCATCTTTGAACCGCTCACTGTCGTCCAGCGACAGCCTCCCAGGCTCACCCACGCATGGGCTGCCCGCGCGCTCGCCCACGCACAGCTACCGTTCCACGCCTGACTCTGCCTACCTAGGTAGCATCTGCGCCTGCGCGGGGGCACAACCGGGCGGGCGGGCTGGCTGGCATGTGTCCGGCGTCCGCGACACCCTGTCTCGCCCGTAGGCGCCTCGTCACAGAGCAGTTCGCCAGCCTCAAGCACACCCAACTCGCCAGCGTCGTCGGCGTCGCACCATATCCGGCCCAGCACGCTGCACGGCCTCTCCCCGAAGCTGCATCGCCAGTACCGCTCCGCACGCTGCAAGTCCGCCGGCAACATCCCGCTGTCGCCGCTAGCCCACACGCCCTCCCCGACGCAGGCGTCGCCGCCGCCTCTGCCAGGCCACACGGTGGGCAGCTCGCACACGACGCAGAGCTTCCCTGCCAAGCTGCACTCGTCGCCGCCCGTCGTGCGCCCGCGCCCCAAGAGCGCAGAGCCCCCGCGCTCGCCACTCCTCAAGCGCGTACAGTCGGCAGAGAAGTTGGGAGCCTCGCTGGGCGCAGACAAGAAGGGCGCGCTGCGCAAACACAGCCTCGAGGTGGGCCATCCGGATTTCCGCAAGGACTTCCATGGCGAGCTAGCGCTGCATAGCCTCGCTGAATCCGACGGTGAGACGCCCCCTGTGGAGGGGCCTGGTGCATCCCGGCAAGTGGCTGTCCGCCGCCTGGGTCGCCAGGAGTCGCCCTTGAGCCTGGGCGCGGACCCGCTGCTGCCCGAGGGAACTCCCAGGCCCTTGGCGTCAAGCAAGGAGGAGTCCCCAGGTGGCCCTGAGGCCTGTACCCCGCCCCGCGTGACGACCCCGGGGGGTCGGACCCTGGAGCGGGACTCCAGCAGCACGCGGCATCAGAGCGTGCAGACTGAAGACGGCTCGGGAGGGGCGGCCAGGGGTGTGGCTAAGGCCGCACTAAGCCCAGTGCAAGAGCATGAGACTGGACGACGCAGCAGCTCCGGCGAGGTGGGCACACCCCCGGTGCCCATCGTCGTGGAACCCGCCCGGCCCGGGGCCAAGGCTGAGGCTTCCCAGCCGCCAGGCACGGACTCCAGGGGGTTGCAGCAACCAGTGCCCCTGGTGCCTCCAGTGCCTGAGGCCCCCCGAGGCCGAGAGCCCTGGGTGCTGGAGGTGGTGGAGGAGCGGACCACGCTGAGCACACCTCGCTCCAAGCCCGCCTCCCCCAAGCTCTCCCCGGAACCCCAGACCTCTGCCCCAGCACCATCCAAGAATGTGCCCAGCAGCACAGGCTCCCCAGCCCCACCCACTTCCCTCCCAGTTCCAGGGGCTAAGCCCGAGGTGGGGCTGTCCTCTCGGTGCCCTGGTGAAGCTGTACCCCCTCCAGGCCTGACCAAAAAAGGAGCGCCCTGCCCAGCACCCCCAGGCCCATAGCCAAGGGGCCTCTGGCCCTGTGCTGTACAGCTACCTGTATACATATGTACACATATAAATAAAGTGTGTCAGTGCTGCGTGACCGTTCTGGGGCTCACCCTCCCCTCCCCTGGCATGATCCTCACGTGTCTCATCCCCTGTCCTCCTGTGTTTGTTGAAGGCGGAACTCCAGTCTTGTGTGGAGATCTGGGCCCTTCCTGTGGTTCCACTTCCAGCTTCCCCAACATAACAGCTGGGCTGCAACACCATTAAGTCCCAATGTCTGCCTAAAGAAAAGGCCGGCAGCTCTGCCCACCAGTTTTCTTTATTCAGTCATCCTGAGAGCCAAGCGTTATGGTTCCTCCCATTTTGTAGATGAGAAGATTGAGTGGCAGAAAGATCAAAGCACATAATTAAGTTCACACAATTAAGATTCTGAGATTTAAACTGACTTCCAAACTGGTTGGTGTACGAGCCTAAGCTCTTACGTGCTCGGTTGGATTTCCTGGAGAGAAGGCTCTGTTCTCCCTCCAGGGTACCTCAAAACCAAAACCCGTTGCCATTGTTGAGTCAATTCTGACTCATAAGGACCCTACAGAACAGAGCAAAACTGTCCCATAGTTTTCCAAGGGTGTGATTTCTGTGGAAGCAGAATGCCACATCTCCCGCAGAGTGGCTGGTGGGTTTGAATCACCAGCTTTTCAGTTAGCAGCTGAGTGCTTAAGCACTGCACCATCAGGGACCCCCACAGGGTTCCCAGGCCTTCACCAATGGCTGGAAGGCCTTCCAGAGAGCAGGCAGCTGTGTACAGAGTGTGCCCCCACCACGATGTTCCTCTCTTAGGTTCCGATTCAGGTCACCCACGCAGGCCCAGGGTCCTTTTGGGGCCACACACCACTTGGAGTGGTCTTCTGTGGTACTGAAGGTTGGCCCAGCTGGCCCAGGGAAGGCTATCTCGGTCACATCCAGCACCTCCTGAGCACCTGAGCAGTTGGAGTGCAGAATGCCAGCAGATTTGTGCCAGAATTGGACCTGCAGGTCACTGCCAAGGGCTGCTGCCAGCCAACCAGAGTACAGGTCTGCAAAGGATGGAAAGAAGGCATTGGCACTGTCAGGGCCACTGCTAGATACTGGGGCTAGCCACTTCCTCTCTCTCTGCTCAGTTTCCTCAACTGTCAATTCTTAAAAACCAAAACCAAACTCACTGCCTTCGAGTCAGATCTGACTCATAGGGGCCCTTCCTAGGGTTTCCAAGGCAGCATCTCTATGAAAGTAGATTGCCCAATATTCCTTTCGAGGAGTGGCTGGTAGGTTTGAACCACCAGCCTTCTGGTTAGCAGTCAAATGCCTTAGGCACTATGCCACCAGAGCTCCCATTAACATGAATAGCTTTTCCTAAACACTTTATAGGCATCACTTCATTGAAGAATCACAACAATCCTGTATCAGTAGCCCCATTTTTTAGATGAATAAACTGAGGCTCAGGATCAATAACAGAACCAGAACCCAAGATTTGAACTCAGTTCTGTCAGTCCCTTGCTTCTCATGTGATTATGGCTCCCAAAGAGGGCCAGTCTTTATCCTTGGTCTGCTCTCAGTCACAAACCAAACATACACTTTACAGAACAAGGGTTTCCCAACCCCAGAGCTCACCATCTCCAAAGTTCCCAAACTTGGCAAAGCTCTGGAAGGTGGCCCCTGCCCGTGATGTGAGTGTTACACTGCTGTTCCAGGGTCCTTTGCGAACATGGTGGCCCTCGACCACCTCCTCCAGTTCAGGAAATTTCTGGGCAAAGGCCCCTTGCAGCTTGTAGTCATACACCAGGGGGTAGGTGTAGGTCAGCTGCCTGCCTAGTGGCAGGGCAAAGAAGAAGACAGGAGGGCTGCTTAGCCTCTGGCTCTGGAGTCAGGGACTCCCCCTGCCTCCCTGTTTCTACTCACCAATCCTCAGGAACTGGGCAAAGGGGAAGGACACACAGAGCAGGGTCTGGCCGTAGTCTTCAGCACTAGGAGGCCAGCTATATGCAGCAGAGGAGGCAGGTGGAGGGAAGCGCGGAACACTGTGGACCAACCAGAAGCCCCCTTCTTGGTCCAGGAGAAGCACTCCTGAACCAGAAGAATGGGATGAGTGAAGCCCTTAAAGGCATCCCAACAACACACCTGTGATTCAAAATGCCCTCAGTTTACAGGGGTTTTGGAGAGGGTGTAGACAGTGTCAGGACCACAGCTTAGCTCAGTGTCTTCAGCCATCAATTTTCACCGTCCAGAGGAACGACAAAGTTAACATAAAACGAAGGCATAAACCTCTAAGGCCTGAAAGAGCAGGTCTCCACGCCAGTAAGGGGTCAGTTGGAGAAAATTCGTGGGAAAACCATGAGCTCCTCCCCAACTCCCGACCCAGGCCTCACCCTTTGTGTGTCCGCGGCTGGAAGAGTCCCCAGCCCCGCTGGCTTTAGGCGGCTGGTCGTTGTAGAGCAGGAAAGCGAGCTGAGAGGATGGACGGGGGCAACGTGAAGGCTCCCCGCTAGGCGGCGCCCACCCTGGAGTCCCACCCTACATCGGTCCCTGTGCCCCTGCACCTGGCTGGCGTTGTTTCGGTACAGCGGCTGCAGGCTGCGCCCCACGGCTCCCGCCGAGCTGTTGATGGACCCCGCACCATCGCGCCAGCCTCCCGAGTCCGCGTCCAGGTACTTGTACCTCAGCCCGCTCCCGGCCGCGTCCCCGGACCCGCTGTGGGCCGGCAGCTTGTAGACGACGAACCTGAAGGTTGGGGAGCGCAGAGAAGTGGGGACGGGAAGCCTGGCCCCTCACCCTGCGGCACAGGAATCCCGGAGGTCCCCGGACGCCGCGCCAGGGATAGGGGAGACGGTCGGCGCCTGCGCCCTCACCAGTCCACAGGCTGCCCCGAGTCCCCGTAGCAGGTCAGGGCCCCGACTGGGACGCCCAGCAGCACTGCCAGGAGCAGCAGGCGCAGCGCCGCCATGGGGGAATCTGCCTCGTGACCTCAAGGTGCCGGGTCAGCAGCTGGGCCGGCCGGGCCCGCCCCGGTGCGGCTCTCACTTCTCTAAAATCGCCTGGGAACCCGGGCCCGAGTTTCTAGAGGTTGAAAACTCCACCCCAGAGACCAGACGCAGAGGTTTGAAAAGACTGTCCTGCTTTCCCCAGGTGCGAACTTTTTAGACAGGCCCCACCCCACAGCCCGCCCACGACCAGGCAGTTGTGGGACCATCTCAGTCTCCCCGCAGACTCAGTCCTAGATAGATAGGCTCCACCCTCTGTGTCCCTCTCCCCAGATTACTCCCGCTTCCGGTCTGCCTGTCGGTGGCCCGACTCCAACTCAGCTCCTAGCCAATTACAGCTCACGCCCCTCCCTCGGTCCCGCCTCCCATTCGGACTTGAGTCCTACCTCCCTGAGTTCCACCTCAGACTCTTCGGTTTGCACTTGTTTTGGTTCACCCTACCTCTGCGCTTGCAGGCACAAGTTTGAAATTTTTCCTTTCGTGCCTTACAACGCGGGGGCCCTTTGTGACCTTTGCTCTCTTAAGGGGAGTTTGCTTTCTTGATTCTCCCCCTTTTCGTTATGCACGTTTCTCTAGATACCCCTGAGCTAGGGGTTACTCTGAATTACAGCCAGGCAAGGGTTACTGGGGCTTTGGATCCCGGATTGAGGTTCTCTTTAAAGACGTGAAAGTGTCTCTGTGCATGTGTCAGGCAGGAGACAAAGACCATGGTGGGGAGGAGTGGCAAGGTATTAAGTGAGGGGTGTCACAGGGGTTTAGGTGCTCAGAGTATCCGTGGCCCCCAATATTATCTCTGGGGCTAGAGCCTCCTGCTAATTCCAGTCCCCGAAACCCACAGAGTCAGGCCAACGCTGAAGCTTTATCGAGCAGGGCATTTTTACAGGACCCATAACCACAGCTAATGCCAGGCCAGGGTGGGAGGCTATGGCCAGAGGGCACCGCCACCACGCTCAGCTTCAGGAAGGGTCTCAATGTGAAGCCCTTTGTAGACCCAGTGTCTCTGGGAAGCCCCCCAACGTGCCCCCTCCCGCTGCCCAGGTCCGTCTATGAGCTGGTCTGAGGGTCCAGCTACCTGAGTGTCCATCTGAATCCATTTATCTACGCATCTGTCTCGCTGGGTCTGTGAGCCGTTGGACATCTCTGTGCGGCTCCGTGTGACCGAGAACATGTGAGGGGCTTTCTTTGAGGCTCCTTCAAGTCTGTGTGTATGAATCGATCATAGATCCTTAATTTTGGTGGATCTGTGGGGCCTCGAGTCCAGGCACAGATCTGTCCCTATAAAAACCATCCTGCGTGGATCCACTCGCTCTTGTTCCAGCCCCAGTCCCCGGGCAGGTCCAGGTGCTGGGACTGGGCTCAAAGGTGGCGCTTCATGTGCAGGGCTAGGTGGTCAGAGCGCGAAAATGCTCTCGGGCAGAGCTGGCATCGGAAGGGGCGCTGCCCGGTATGCTTCCGGTAGTGGCGGGTCAGCTCATCCGAGCGTGCAAACCTCCAGCCGCAGCCGTCCCATGTGCAGGCATAGGGCTTCTCCCCTGGGGGATGATGAATCGGTGAGCACCACCGTCCAGTTCCTCCTCCCCTCTCGCCCGTAGGCTTCCCATCCACCCCTACACCTAGCTGTACCACTTTACTCTGCTCAGGGCCAAGCCAGGTGAGCAATGCCCCAAGGGAACAAAATGTAGGAAGGGGCCCTTTCTCAGGTGCCGGTGCTGCGTCTGCACCCAGGCCCTGTCCTCTATACCTGCATCTGGCTGCAGACCCGTGCTCGGGTCCGGTGCATGGGCACACTATCTCCGTGTCCTAATTCCATTCACCCCCGCTCTGTCCCCTGAGTTCCAACCTCTCCCTTGTACCACGGGCACCTCCAGCTGCTGCCCAACCCTGTCCCTGGGCTCTAAGCCCCGAAATCCACTGTAGTTTTAGGCCTTGTCTACCGTAATCAACACTCAACCCCTGCTACACTGGTCACTCTTCCGCAGTACATCTTGCCCCACCCTCCGTCCAGAACCCTTGAACATAGGCCCCGCCCCTCACTGCCTCTAGTCCACGCCTCACCCCTGTCTTTCCTCCTCTCTAGGCCCGGCTTCTCCTTCTTTGCCCAGCCCTCTCCTGTTTCCCAGCTTTGCCCCTGCCATCCTGGTATGTCTGTCCTCTGTGACCCTGCCCTGCACCCGGTCAGCCCCAGTGTCTGAAGTCCTGAGTCCCAGCTATATCCCTTCCATCTCTGGGGCCGCCTCCACGCCAAGCAACTCGCACTTTATACCCCTGGATCAAAGCCTTAAGCTCTCCATTTGCCCCAACTTTAAACCCAGTAACTTTGGCCTTGCTTGGCGTTCCAGGCTTGTGCCCTCCGCCCCCCCCTTCCTCTAGTCCCGCCCCGTACACCACATGCCCTGCTTTCTGCTCCTCGACCGGCCCCTTGTGGGCTCATTTGCTCCTCAGTTCTCAACTCTGAAACGCGTCCCAAATGTTCTAGGCCCGCTACCCTACCCGTACCGCTGTCCGGCCCTTCATGACCCTGTCCTAGCCCCTGAGGTTCCAGGCCCGCTCTCTACTCTTTGTGTCCTGGCCCTTGCTCCAGGACTCAGCCTCCAGCTCCGCCTCCGGAGTTATAGACCAGCCCCCTTTGCCTTGAGCCTGCCCCCTTGTTTGGGTTTCTGCCCCGCCTCTAGCTTCGCCCACTGCACAAAGGCCTCGCCCCCTCACCCGTGTGTGTGCGCAGATGCGCCTTCAGGTGGGAGCTCTTGGTGTAGCTCTTGCCGCAGCCTGGGTGCGCGCAAGTGTGCGCCGCCTGTCTCTTGCGCGCCCACGAGCGCCGGCTGCGTTTGGATGGCGTGGCTTCGCTGATCCCTCCTGGGTCTCCCGCGGTGCCTCCTAGCCCGGCGCCCGTCGTCCCGGGCCCCAAACAACTTAGGAAAGAGGGGGGTGCGGCAGGGCCGGGCGCGGGTGCCGGCAGCCCGCGGTAGAGCTGGAAATGCCCTTGGTACTGCGGCACCGGGTACAGCGTGGGGTACCCGGACAGCAGCCCGTAGGGGGCGCTTGGCGCCGCGGGCACTGAAAACCCTGTCCGCGGGAAGTAGCTGCCCGAGGAGCCTACTCCCGGCCCAGGGTATACTGACTGCAGCGGCAGCGCCTTGGGCTCGGGGGTCAGGGCCAGGGCTGAACCCACGAAAGCGTCGGGGGCCGGGGCTCGGGGAGACGGGCGCGCCCAGCCTGGGTGCTCCTCTTGACCCAAGAGCCCAGTCACGACCCCCGGACTGCTCGCATACGCGCCCAGAGTCTCAGGAAGCGGCGGGTATGGCCCCCCGGGGCCCTCGCCGGGCGCCAGAGCGTTGGTCCGGGCCTCTCCACTTGGCTCCGGACCCGGGAAGTTGGTGAGGAGGAGATCCAGGTCCCAGGCGACGGCCTCATCTCTCTCGTCGTCCTCGTCCTCCTCCCGCACGTCTTCCGACTCCGGCTTCACGTGAAGGGGCAGTCCTGTGAGGCCAGGGGGCCCCGGGCCAAGGTCCTGCTCCTCGTCAGAGCGCCACCACTGAGGGAGGGAACCGTCAGCATGAGGTTTCAGCAGACCCCCTAGTACCCCGTCCTATGAGGGCTCATAGGGCTCGGGCCAAGTACCTTGATGGGGGGCTGAAGGCGGAAAGGGTCCTGTTCGCTTGTGTGCCCCACCCCCCTATACCTGCCCCCCCCCCCAGGACAGAGGTTGTTCGGGTCTGTCTGGAGACAGGAGATAAGACCTCTGTTATCTGGAGCCACACTCTGGCATGGGGGGAAGGGATGACAGCCAGAGATGGAAGACTGGGGCCCAGCCTTGACTCAATTTCCCCCCAGAGCCTCCAATAAGGTTAATTCTTCTTCTCCATCCTCCAACAAGGTTAATTCCCAAACCCTGGCTATTCCCTGGGAGCCCTGGTGGCACAGTGGTTAAAGTGCTCAGCTGCAAATCAAAAGGTCATTGGTTTGAGCCTACCAGCCATGCTCTGCAGAAGAAAGATATGGCAGACTGCTTCCGTAAAGATTTCAGCCTTAGAAACCCAATGGGGCAGTTCTATTCTGTCTAGAGGGTTGCTATGAGTCTGCATTGACTCAATGGCAATGGGGTTTTGGGCCCCCTGCTATCTAGGGTTTCCTCTCTGAGCCTCAGACACACATGTCAGCTCAGAGCCTCAGTTTCCCATTATAAAAATGCATCCCAGAAGCTCTGACCACCCACTCCCCAGACCAAGCCCACCTCTCCCAGTCCTGGCCAGGTCTCTTGATTTCCAGGCCAAGACATAGGCTCGAACCTTCATGCTCTGAGGCCATGCCTGGAGCCCAGCCAGCCCACCTAGGCCCTTCTGGCCCCACCTTGAGGAAGTCCTCTTGTGTGTCCGGGAAAGGGCCCAGGGTGGTCAGCGTGCTGATGGAGGGCAAGGCAGTCTGGGCTGCCGCCATGGTGACTCCGAGGTCTTGGTGCCCACCCCGGGCCCTCAGGCCTCCTCTCCTTCAGCTGCCTCGTGGGCTCTGAGGCTCTGGTGCCCCTCTGGGAACTTCTCTCAGCACTCAGCTAATTGGCTGCAGCCCCTGATAAAGGCAGGCCAGGCAGGGGCGGGGGTTACCATTTCTGGGGAACAGACCTCACTTCAGCCTGTTGAGGCTGAGTTTTAAAGACCGCCCCTGCACCCAAAGTCGAATCAGATGTCAGGGGGTTGGGATTCAGCCGCTGGGTAAGGTGAGGCACTGAGGCCTCAAAGAACAGACATGGGGACCTGCTCTTAGTTTACCTTTCTGGATGGGGGAGAGGGATGATAGGTGGAATGGGTACGCTGGGGAGGGGCTGCAGGCCCTCCCCCACGGGGCCCTGAAGCCCTCTCCCTCCCCAGTAAACAGTAGTAACCATACTGGTGGCGGGATTTGGCACCAACTCCCTGCTAAGCATTATCAGGCACCCCAGATGTCACAGGCTGCTATCAGGTGGGGGCCCAGAACAGCAAAAGTTTTGTCCCCAGTGAGTGGGGGAGGGTTCGGACTTCATAGTAACTTAGCTTTAAAATGTCTGGGTCATGAGCTCTCAGGGCGTCACCCTGTCGCAGGAGAGAGCCCCTGCCACTCAGCCCCCCGGTATCTACCATAGACCCTCATTTGGTGCTGCAAGGAGCTTGGCTTGGGGAGGCTGAGGCTGGTGCAACTACACGTGCTCCAGTGAGAGGGGGTTTGGGGAGGAGGAAGCTCATCCTCTCTCCAGGGTGGGATGAACCAGTTGCATGGGGGCACAGGAAGTGCCTGATCACAGGAGACCCGCACCGCCCCTGCCCTGGGCCTGGCTGCTGCTTGACATCCACCCCACAAGGGGAGAAGGATCTGAGCCAGGGACCGCCACTGTGGGACCCTGGGAGCCCAGGAGGGGGACAGGGACACACATCACACAGACACATAGTTCACAGGCACATACAGCCATGCAGTTACATAGCGACAGAGGTCCCAGGTCCCTCAATCACAAACCACAGTCTCTGGTTTACCCAATAACAGATCAAAATTCCCAGCAATAAAAGCACAACCATATACCACATTTGTTACATAGTGTTATATTCTCACAAGGTTCTGACAACCATACAGTGTAACCCCACTGACACAATCAAACAGACAGAGAGATTCCTGGATATCCTGTCATAGAACTATAGAAGATGCAGTCACATAACCTCATCAAATACAGATGCAGCCTCCGACACACAAACAGAAGACACCACACATCCATTCACAAACACACAATGAGGCAGTAGTACACAGCTGCAACTCTATGTCATAAAATCACAGATACAATCAGCAACAGATCCATAAAGAACCGACAGTTTTACAGTCACAGCACCTGTCACTATCAACATGTGCAATTATTCACACAATTGCAGAGTTACCAATGCCTAATGATAGGGGTGCATCCAAACACAAGCAACCACTCGGACAGAGACGCACACACCCTGAGAACTCACCCAGATATGGACATATCATCACAGACTGCACAGAGTAGGTAAACTACAAACACATTACACAAAAAGACAAAAAATTGCCATGTGCTACAAGGCAGAGGGAGGCAACAATGTAAACATTCTCTGGACACACTCACTAGGTTGGCTATAATTTAAAAGTTGGAAAATCATGTGTTGGCAAGAATATGGGGGAGAAATTGAAGCCCTCATACACTGCTGGTGGGAATGTAAAATGGTGCAGAGGCTGTAGGAAATAGTTTGGCAGTTCCTCCGAGAGTTAAACATAGAATTATCCTATGACCTAGCAATTCTACTCCAAGGTATATGCCCCAAAAGCTTGAAAGCAGGGACTCAAGCAAATCCTTGGACATCAATGTTCATTGCAGCATTAGTTACAACAGTCAAAAGGTGGAAACAACCTACAGTGTAGTAAATTACTTAGTATGGCTTTTCTACCCATAAGTCATTGTAAACTCAGTGGTGGAATGAGCAACTGAGGAGCTCCTGATTGTAAATGTTATCTACCTGGGGTATTTCTGTTGGGCGTGGCACAACACAGTGTTATGGGAGACTCTCTCTCAGGTGCTTAGAGTTCTGATGCTATGATTGGCTAGTTTGGCCACTCCACCAAGCTCAAAAGGAGGCCCCCTAGAGGCAGAACTCTCTCTGACTGCTGGTTGAGGAAGACGTGCTGCTGAAAGAGATATGCGTTCCTGAGACACGTGTTGCTGGGAAAGAGACGCAAGAGACACGCATTGCTGAGTGAGATACTGAGGGGCCAGCACTGCTGGGGAAGAGACTGTGAGAGACTGTTGGCTGAGGGACGGTGGGCTGGGAGAGAGGCTGAACATTCTTCCTGAACTTGAGTAGACTGGTGCTTCCCTAATAAACCCCATAATCCATGAGTTCTGTGTGGCCACTGCAGCGAATTAGCAAACCCAGGAGAGAGGTGATGGGTGCTTTGGGAGGAACGGTTGGAGAAAGGGCTGGAGGGAGGCAGCATGTCTGGCCTGGCAGGAATAGGCCTTGGGTTATTGATGGTGACTGTCTTCCTCTTGTGGGATTAGAGGAGGTCAGAACATGTGGCTTCCTTGCCCTTTTTGCACAACCCAGTGTCCATCAACAGATGAATGGATAAACACAACGTGGTTTATTCATATAATGGAATACTGTTCAGCCAAAAAAGAAAAAAAAGAAATTCTCATACATGCTACAATGTGAATGAAACTTGAAAACTTTATGCTCAGTGAAAAGAACCAGACACAAGAGGCCACACACTGTATGATTCAGAAGGGCCGGGGCCTCTGGTGGGAGACAGACTCCTGGGAGTGTGTGGCCAGGAAGAGCATGGATGTTCAAGGGCAGCAAGGCCTGAGCCTCAGTTTGGGTTTCCCCAAAATCAAAATCAGGTTTTCCCGCAACAGCTCCTGAGCTTTAGGAAACCTCAACACTGACACTAGCTCCAGGAGAGGGAGCTTTAGGGAAAGGGGGGTGAAAGGAGAAAGGTCACTGGCTCAGGAGGAGGGAGATGATTAGAAAACTGAGAGCTATGAAGAATCTAGACATGTCAGGGTGAGCATGTGTGTGATTCAGATAATTTTACTTGGAAATGAGGGATGAGAAGAGCCCAGAAAATGGAAGAATTCAGGAGCACCCGGGTCCCAGGCACTGGGGGCCAGTGAACAAACTCAGACACAATCCCACAATTACTCCCCTCACTGTCAGCTGGAGATGATGTCTGAGGCACTGTATACACACAATCAGAGACCTGACTGTCAACATGGAAAGAGTTATTCTTGGGCAGGCAGAAGCCTGGCCTGGGAGTCAGGAGAGCTGGATCCCAATCCTGGTCCCTGCTTTGCACCTGTCACACTGTGACCTTGAGCAAGAACTCTCTGCTATCTTGGCCTCAGTTTCCCAATTGGGAAATGACGGGTCATGGCAGACATGTGATTCTCAGGTACAAGCAACTATACACTCAGATTCAAATACTGCCCATAAATAATGCTCATAAAGTGTCACTAAGGGAAGCATCACTGCACACGGTGTCATGATCACACTCAGACACATAATTACACACCACTGCACATAAACTAAGTCAACGGACACATACAGACACACAACAACACTAGAAACACATAGACACAACACAAATATGCAGTTATACTATCACAAAGATAAGTCACACCTACACACAAAACCATTGAAACAGGCATGCACGCACCACACACACAGTCACACAGAATACCATCACACAAGCTTTCTATCACACAGACATACAACCATAGATATAGTTACAAAGTCACAGGCACACAGTCATCCATAGTCAGCAGACATAAAGTCAAATACTCTCACAACCACACAGCCACAATCATGTACTGATACAGAACATAATCACATAGACATACCCAGGACTCACAACTATTAAGAGCATCCCACAAATACATAATTACTATCACAATTACAGACACACAATCACAAGACACACACTCAGACTCATATAATACACAAGCAATCCCCAAAACAGACGTACAACCATGAAGACAGAATCACCTAACACTCCAGAGAAACATAATCCTACACAGACACACACATAATCAGTCAGAAAAAACCCAACCTACATAGTCTCAAAGAGACACCATCAAAGCCCCACAACGTCACAGGCATACAGTCAATCCCACCCACATACAGATACACACTCAGGCACAATCACACACACACAGACATACGCAACTAGCTACACGTGCCTCCTGGGACAGACTGTCAGAGTGGGGGCTAAGCTGAGACCGCCCATCCATTGCCCCTCACCTCCAGCACTACAAAAAGGAAACCCTGAATTCTGGTCTCCTAGGAGCTCTGGTAGCATAGTGCCTAAGGCACTTGACTGCTCACCAGAAGGCTGGCGGTTCAAATCCACCAGCCACTCCTCGGAAGGAAGGTTGGGCAATCCTACTTCCGTAGTGATACTGCCTCGGAAACCCAAGGAGGGGTCGCTATGAGTCGGGGCCGACTCGACGGCAAAAAACAACAACAACAACAACAACAAGGTTCCAAGACTCATTTCTCCAGCACCTCAGTTACCTCTCTCTTAACTCACAGAGCCCTCTATACACCCTACAACTGGTCAATCAGGAATCAGCCGAGCCCCCTTCAAAGGCCAATCAGAACTTAGCTGGTCCATCAGGTTGGCCTACGGGTCTTTCGCCCCGTTTCCGTTTTGCTCCTTAAAGGGGCCAACATGAATCCGTCCGGGCGCGCCCCCTGTAGGGGCAGGGCTGTCATGGCCCTTTTAAAAGGTAGAGACTTGGAGGCAACGAGTCTTAGGAGAAACCAATGAGAAGCCTCCTTCGGCCTCGCCCCGCCCGTCTCTGCGGAAGGTCAAAGGGCTTTGTTGTTGCACAGTGGCTTTTGCAAACAACCTTGGGGGCGCCTGGTGGGGAGCGGGCGTTAGGCCTAGGGAGGGGTGTAGGACGGGAGATCAGCTCATTTTGACAACCCACGCTCTTCCAGGTCGTTTGTCGTTGCTCCACTCGCCCGCCCGCTTCCCTCATGGCGCTGAGAGGCGCCTCCGCCTTGCTGTTGAGCCACGGTCCCCGCCTGCGAGTCCTGCGCACGTGGGGCTCGGCAGCGTCGCAGACGGGTCAGTGGTGATGTAGAATGGGTAGAATTGGGGCTCAGAACTTTCCCGGGGTGATTTTTCGTCTTGTGTTTGCAGAGAAGAACGGGAAGACACAGAACCGACCAACCAAGTGTAAGAAATCCCTCGTCACGCCATGCCACTGTTCCGGGTGGGCTCTGTCCTAGAATCAGAGGGCTGCACGCGCAGGAAGGCAAGACTGGGCCCAGAGTCAGAGATACTGAAGTAGCGTGTGCCTTGTCCCTGTGGGACCGGAGTAAAGCCGAGCCTTCCTCTCCACCTCGTAGCTTCACGTCCGCAGTTTGACTGGAGGGACCCGCTGGTTCTGGAGGAGCAGCTGACGGCAGATGAGATCCTCATCAGGGACACCTTCCGCACCTACTGCCAGGAGCGCCTCATGCCCCGCATCCTGTTGGCCAATCGCAACGAAGGTGCCTAGATGGACAGGCGGGTGTGCACCCTGGGACTCCCCTTCTTGCTTGGGCCGCACCCCCCTCACTATGCACACTAGCTCTTCCAGCTCTAGCTGGGATTATGGGCCCCAATGCTCTGGGGCTGGGACTTCAGTGGGCTAGAGCTGGGCCTGAATTCGTGCATCTGTCTCTTGGTAGTTTTTCATCGGGAGATCATCTCGGAGATGGGGGAGCTGGGCATGTTGGGCCCCACCATCAAAGGTAGAGACAAGCTTTTCTTAACACTTTGTATTTTGAAAAGTTGCCCCCGCACATTTTTTTCTTTTTTTCCTGAGCTACACTTTTCCAGTCTGAAAAGTGAGGCTGTTATTCTTCCCTCTAGAAGCGACGGTGGGGATGAAATGAATGAACCTTCATGCAGGGCCAACTTGGTGGCCCCTGCTTGGTTGCTCCTATCTAGCTGAGACTGTTGGGCCCCAGGAGTCACTGCTCCCAGGTGAGCAGGACTTTGCCTGTCACCCTACTTCCCCCAACCCTACTAGGTTATGGCTGTGCCGGGGCCTCGTCTGTGGCCTATGGGCTCCTGGCCCGAGAGCTGGAGCGTGTGGACAGCGGCTATAGGTCTGCAATGAGTGTCCAGTCCTCACTCGTCATGCACCCTATCTATGTTTATGGCAGCGAGGAGCAACGGCAGAAGTACCTGCCCCGGCTGGGTGAGTGCTGCCCTTGGGGCCTGGTGGAAGGTAGACAGACCCAGTCTGGAATTCAGGGGTGGGGCTATCCCCTGAGCCTGCCTTCTGTCCCCATCTCAAGGACAGCACTTATGCTCACCCAGGCCCCCAGCCAGACCCTAAGCCTCACCCCACCTCTAGTCCCCCACCAGCCAGACCCTAGGCCTCACCCCACATCTAGTCCCCCACCAGCCAGACCCTAGGCCTCACCCCACCTCCAGTCCCTCACCAGCCAGACCGTAGGCCTCACCCCACCTCCAGACCCTTTCTAGCCCAGCCAGACTTCTGATGTATTTCTTCAATCTGTCTTTTTCTCATCATCATCTCCCTCTTCATTTGCTTTCACGCTTGAACTCTTTCTTTGATCCAGTCCAGAGTTTAAAGTCTTAACTTCCTAGCGGTGTCCACAAGGCCCCAGGTGACCTGGTCTCTGCTAACCTTTCCACTTTGTCTCTGGCCACTCTCTTGCCCACTGTTCCCTAGCTAGACTGTGACTTGAATTCTCCAAATGTACCCCTGGGCCTTTGCATTTCTCTCTCTTAGGAACACTTCCATACACCATATCCCTGCTAAACTCCTTTTTCACTGTCATCACGACACGGTTTAGCCAACTTCTTCTTGACTCCCCTGGGGCTCCTCCCGATCATGGCATTGTGACTGTGGCCTGGTGGGGCCTGTCTCCACCACCACCGGGAGTGCTGTGAGGGCAGGGCACAATTTGCCTTGGCCCCAAGGCCTGGCTTGGAGATGCTGACACATTTTAGTTGAGGGGATGAATGTGGGTCACTCTTTACTCCACCAGCCCCAGTGACCTGCCTTGTCTCTGCAGCCAAAGGGGAGCTCCTGGGTTGCTTTGGGCTCACAGAGCCCAACCATGGGAGTGATCCTGGCAGCATGGAGGCCAGAGCCCGCCATAACCCATCCAGCAAGAGCTACACCCTCAATGGAGCCAAGACCTGGTGAGGGGGCTGGGGCTTGGCAGGTGGGTAGGCAGGTAGCAGGTGGTGGCCGGACCCCTCACTGCCATCCCACTTCTAGGATCACCAACTCGCCTGTGGCTGACCTCTTTGTGGTATGGGCTCGGTGTGAAGATAGCTGTATTAGGGGCTTCCTACTGGAGAAAGGGATGCGGGGCCTCTCGGTCCCCAAGATCGAGGGCAAGTTCTCCTTGCGGGCCTCGGCCACTGGCATGATCCTCATGGATGACGTGGAGGTGCCGGAGGAGAACGTGCTGCCCAACGCATCTGGCCTGGCGGTGAGCAGGGAACTGGTACAGGGCCACCTGCTGGGCTGCCTTTCTTGGGTGAGCCCACAGTAGTGATCGTTGAGGCTCAGGCTGATTACTGATGTGCTAAAAAAGTCCCATTTTGGTGGCCAACTTGCTCATACCGGTTCTCTGTCCAGCACACAGATGGGCTGAACCAGCTCAGTCCTTTGATTCATGTGCATGTACTTGCCTCCTCGCATCAGCCTCCTAGGTTGGAGTGTCAAAACCAGATCCTGAGCTGAGTGCAAATCTTGAGTGAGCAGGCACTGACGAGGCCTGGTGTGCACAGCTCTGTGTGAGCCATGATTGGCTCTCCTAGGACCCCCTGCGTATACTGACTGCACATTACAGAGATGCTCCTGGACTGAGCCCCCCTTCTCCATGCCCCAGGGTCCCTTTGGCTGTCTAAACAACGCCCGGTATGGCATCACATGGGGCGTGCTTGGAGCTGCTGAGTTCTGTTTGCACACAGCCCGCCAGTACACCCTGGACAGGTCTGTGGGGGCTACCATGTGTCTCCTGGGGGTGTAGGGTGCTTGGATGCCATTCTTCACTCCACCAGTGATTTCCCAGCCCCACCCACCAAATCTAATTTACTTCATCTGTGAAATGGCCAATAAAGTCCATACCAGCAATTAAGGACTGAGTGAATAGTGCTGAGTGGCTGAGGCAGTCTGGGAAGGCTTTCTGGAGAGTAGGTCCTGAGAAGGGCTGGGGTGTGGGGTTCCCTCTCATCCTGACCCAGACCTTGCCCTTGTAGGGTCCAGTTTGGCGTCCCATTAGCCAGGAACCAGCTGATCCAAAAGAAGCTGGCAGACATGCTCACTGAGGTCACACTGGGTCTTCATGCCTGCCTGCAGCTTGGCCGTTTGAAGGATCGAGACAAGTAGGGGTTGGGTGAGGTTGCAGGGCGGGGAGACAGCTGTGGCAGGAGGACCGTAGGCCCCTCCTGGGCATGAGGGTGACTTGCCCTGGGGAGAGTGGTCCTGCTGCCTGGTGGCCCCTTGAAACCCAGCCCTTCTCTCTTTCTTGGCCTTGATGAGCCAGGCTAGGGATGAGCCAAGGCAGTGTCTGCTGCCATGACTCTGTCTCCCTGGGTGGGTCTGTCCAGGGCACTGGGATACCTGCCTGCCCAGAGCTGGGTCAGTTCTCTATAATCTACTGTTATTGCTTGGATGTGCCACAACCAGGGCCACCCCAGAAATGGTCTCTCTGCTGAAGAGGAATAACTGTGGGAAAGCCCTAGACATCGCCCGCCAGGCCCGAGACATGCTGGGAGGTAATGGGATTTCTGATGAATACCATGTGATTCGACACGTCATGAACCTGGAAGCAGTGAACACCTATGAAGGTGGGACTAGATCCCTGGGGGTGATGGGTCACGGTGGCCTCGTGTTTGGGGAACATGTTTGGTGAGGAGGGGTGGGAGACAGCAGGCTTAGTCCTGTCCCTAGCTGTCATGAACCTTGGGCAAGTCACACCTCTCGGGCCCTCATCTGGAACAGCTCCCAGTGGGACAGCTCCCAGTGGGACAGCAGAAGTACAGTGCTTGCCAGGCCTGCAGAGGCCCAAATCAGGGGCCTGGTTCTCAGCTGACCAAGTGCAGCCCAGGCCTTTCTCCCACAGTACTTGTGAGGAGGTTGTTTCTGAGGCTGAGGTCCTCCTTGGGCATCCCCACCAGTAAGCTGGTGAATGCAAAGGAGTGGGAATGAAGCTACATCCAGGGACTACCCCTCCATTTTATGTTAAAAGGAAAAGGAAAGTGGATTGTTCTCTTGATATTCACTCCTCACCCTGATTGTGAGCACAGTGGGGCTCTGAAACCCTTTGCCTCATGGGAAGACAGATGTGTAAAAAGATAATTGAAAAGAAAAATATTATAACCCAGTGTGAGCCATGCAGAAATGGAGGGAGACCTAAGAGGAGGCAGGCACTGGACCTTTCAGGAAGAACGTGAAGCCACTTGAGGCCCCAGAGGAGGTGCAGGAGCTCCCTGCAGAGAGAAGGCAACAGTTCCCAGGCAGGCAGGATGGCCGTGGCTGTGCATGAACCGGTGTCTTCCCTGTGTCTCCGAGGATCAGAATTTAACCCAGGGGAGGTCCCACAGGCCCAGAATCTTGTCTCTACTGGGCAGCTGGATGGGAAACTCCAGAAACAGCAAGAGGGAGGACTGTGGAATAGGTACCATAAAGGTGTAGGAATGACCCTGAGGACAGGCAAAGAGGCCTTCAGTGTGGTTTTACACAGGGGAAGGACAGGGCCAGGTATGTGTTTTAGGCAGTAAATGGAAATAGTTTACTCTGTAAAAGGGGGATGATGATCTCTGCCCTCTGTCCACAGAAGCTGAGGTGGAGCAAACAAAAAAAGCACAGGGAGCAGTGAAGGCTCTGAGGGGCTGCACAGACACGGCGGTTGGGAGGTGGAACCCTGGGGCAGGCAGGCTTCAGGAGGCAGGAGATCGGCTATGATAAGCAACTGGTTTTAAGTGTTTCCCCATCCCTCCTGGTAAAGAAGGGCCTGATGATGTGTCTCCACATAGCTAATCAGTCAGCTTCTCTGGGAAGGAAAGCAGTGCTCAGATGAAAATGAAATGTTTAATCAACTGTGTAGGGGTGGGGTGTGGTGAATTTGCCATGAGTGGGGAGTATCAGGCTGGGTCTACAGCAAGTCTAGACTTGCTGCACTTCTGGGTCTAGCAAAAGGAGCTCTGGGATTTGCCGATGTGCATTACAGAACTGTGAAAACTAACTTCCTCAGCGGGGCGTGAACAGTCGCCTGTGAGCCTCCTCGCAGTGGCTGTAGGTAGGAGGTGAATTTCCGGGTGCTGTCAGCATTCACTGTCTTTGTGGGTCTGCTCTTCCACAGTAGCAGCCTTGAAGATTGATTTTAAGAGGAAGTTGTGAGTTGTTAAGACTCCAAACTGACTCTGTATTTATTGTGTCTAGGTACACATGACATTCATGCGCTGATCCTGGGAAGAGCAATCACGGGAATTCAGGCGTTCACGGCTGGCAAATGAACACACTTCATTCACCCGGGACCTGGGACTGTGAAGCCCCTTTCCAGAGGGACGCCTGGCAACTGCTCTGAGTACTCAGGGAGGTGGGGGATGGCCCTGAACTTTCCAAAGGAACCAACTTTTATGGTGGAAAGTGAGGGACACTGACCTTTACATATTAAAATTTCCCTTTTTCAGTCATTCAGATTTACTGCTTAAAAAGGAGATGGAATTCTTTGTACAGAGTTTTTCTATCCATTTTAACTGGACTTCATTTACCTTGGAAAAGAAGCTTCTTTTGACAGGAGGGATAGGGAGAGGGAGGGAAAGTCCCATTTGAAGTATCTTCTGTGAAACTGACCTAGCGTCTGACAGAGCAAACCCTCTCATACCAGAGTTTCTTCTGTGCCCTCTGACCCTGTGTCTTCTGAGGGGTAGTGCCCTGTGTTGGGCAGAGAGCAGAACAGAGTGGGAGAAGAATAAAGCCTCTGCGAGTCGAACCCCACAGTGCTGGGCCACCTTTACTTGTAACCACCTGAGAAGCAGTTTCAGACAAAGCAGAAACCAAAAGGTCTGGGGGCTGTGGGTCACTGGGATGTGGTGGGAATTTTCCCCCAGAGCAGTCAGGCCTTTAGTGCCTTTAGTAATAAATAACCCTAGGCTAGGCATTGCCTCATGCCCAGGCCATGTGCCAGGGCTGCAGGATTGAAGGTAGAGTGATGGTCCCGCCAGGCAGGTGCAAGGGACTCTGTACTTTTAGTTACCACCACCACAACGGCTAGCTCCTTGGTGTGTTGGCAGGGACTCCCCATATTATAGGGGGAAAAAAAAAACCCAAACCCACTGCTGTCAAGTCGGACCCAACTCATAGCGACCCCTCCTTGGGTTTCTGAGGTGGTATCACTATGGAAGTAGATTGCCTAACTTTCCTTCTGAGTAGTGGCTGGTGGGTACAGGACCACAAATGGGAGGACAAGAGCACAGATGGGGGCCTTTTCACTTATCACCGCCCTTGTGGGGTTTAGGGTTGGTGTCAGAGCCAACTTGCGGTTTCTGTTCACAATTACCTTCAGCTTAGCTGGTACAACCCTCTTTCCTCAGGTACCACCCCTCCCACCCCCACACACCCAAAAGTCGTCCTACCTCAGGCTGGAAACACAAGTCTTTGTACATGGTCTCCATGGTGTGGCACACTTGTTTGAGCTCTGTTTCCAAAGAGCTGATCTTTGCCATTTTCTCAGTGAACTCTTGGACCTTTTCCTGAATTATCTTGCTGTGGTGACTGTAAATCTGATACATCCTGTCTTCTAACTTCTCAGTCAGATCTGAAACCTTTTGAGTAAGTCACATTTTTGAAAAGTCAAACAAGGTAAAACAAAACATTTGTTCTAAGGAGACCCCTTAGATTTCTGCAATTGTAAGAATAGTAAAAACAATTCCAGTGACTGGGGTGTAAAATGTCTATCTGTTAATTTTTTTTTTTTTTTTAAAGCAAGGTACAAAATTATGGGAAACAGTTATTTAAAGTTGAACCATTTTAGGAAAAAACTATTCAGAACAGAACCTAGAGGGAAATATGCAACAAAGTAGCCGTTGGATGGTGGTACCATAGGAACATTTTTATACTTTTTCTATTGCATTGTATTTTTCTGTGCTTTCTCATTTTCTGTGAGGTACCAAGGTGTGTATTGGTAGAGATGGGAGAGGCATAGGGGAAAAACTCAGGCTGTCATCAAGAGATGTAATGCGGACTGAACAATCCACTCCACATGCAGGATCCATTATACATTCTGAAGAAACATCAGGCACAAAAATCAGCATCAGAGCTACTGTTGTTCTGTGCTGTTGCGTCGTCTCCGACCCACAGCAACCCCTCCCTGGGTTTCTGAGGCGGCATCTCTACAGAAGTAGATTGCCCAACATTCCTTTCAAGCTGGGTGGCTGGCTTCATTAGACACAAGCCTATTCACACCTCAGCTATGTGTTGAGGAATCCCTCAACTCTCCCATCAAGGTCATTCAGCTTCTGCAGGACATATGGGTGTTACAGTGTGAGCCAGAAGAACGAACACGTCTGTCTTGGAAGAAGTGCAACCAGAATGCTCCATACAAGGGAGGCTGGTGAGATTCTGTCCCATATACTTGGGACAGTTACCAGGAGGGACTAATCACTGGAGGAGGACATCATGCTTGATAAAGTAGAGGGTCAGCAAAAAAGAGGCAGACTCAGTGAGATGGCTCCGATAGTGGCCTCAAACAGCAACAACCGTGAGGATGTACAGGACCTCAAACTGTTTCCTTCTCTTGTGTAAGTCAGAACTGACTCAACGGCACCTAACAACAGAGTAAGCTATGTCTCAACCCCCAACTCCTACAACCATTAGCCATTGTGTGAAACAAGAGGTCTGGCTTTGGATGCAGAGGGACCTTGATTCCTCATCCTATAGCTCTCACTCTGTCAAATTATCTACAAACCTGTTTTCTCATCTATAAAATGGGTTCAATCTCTTCTTTGTAAGACTGATGGAAGACTGAAATGAAATACTATATGCAAGTTGCCTAGCACCAAGGCTGGAACACAACAGGTTTAGTGATGGTTTATCCTTTCCCCTTTTACATGAGAATATCCACCCCCCCCCCAGCTGAGGTTTTACAGTAGGCCTGGGGGAGTCTGTCACCTTAACCTTTAGGCTGTCCTTGAAGTTGGCCATGAATGCCTGGTCCTTTTGCCTGCTCTCGTTGATGTTTTGGATGAGCTCCTGAGCTCTCTTCTTCAAGATCTCAATGCTCGAGTCCAGAGAGGAAAAGTAGGATCCTGACTTCCCTTCTAGTATCATTTGGCAGTTGGCACTGGAAGTGGCAATAGAGGGGCTGGGAACTTGACTTCTGAAAATACAGAAAATTGAGATCAGCACCAAACTCTCCAGAGTGGTTGATCAGAATTAGCTGTGTGGTAGGAGGAGAACTGCGTCGTCTTCCGCTCCTGGGAGACACCTGGCACTTTTCCTAGGTTATTTCATTCACACAACCACCCTGAGAGACAAGGATAGTATCCAGTTTTATAACTGAGAAAACAGACCCAGAGGTACAAATACGTCTAAGTTCCCAAAAGAAGGAAATCTGCCTGACTCCAAAGCCCACGGTCATTGTATCCCACCAAGTTGGGTCTTGGAAATGAACATTTACTGATGCTATTAATAGCATAGATGCTTCACTGACCTCATGTCACTAATCTGCTGCTATCACTGATGCTTTCCACTCCTTTCTGAACCTGTGGGTGATGCCCACAGCATGGAGAGCACCGGGGCTAATGTACCTGGATGTGTCTGCTCCCACCAAGGGAGGTACACACCTGTCAAAAGTCAGTTATGTTTGTCCCAGACTGCTTGTGAGTTGTACATATCACTAGACTACAATTATTTAATTAAATAATGCAAAATGAAATAGGGATAAATAGTGACAGTTGTCTAAAAAGCAAAATTGAAAGGATAGCTAGAAAAAACAAATGGACTACCTATATGACTATGAGACCAGAAGAGCTAGATGGTGCTCGCCTACCACTGTCAACCATTCGGAGGGGGGATCTATGTAGGAGATCCTGGCGAGAGTGGGAGAACAATGTGGAACAAAACTCAAAATCATTAAAAAAAAAAAGGACCAGGTTTGCTGGTCTGATGGAACCCAACACTATGGCCCCTAGCTGCCCTTCAGGTCTAAAATCGAACCCACTCCTGTGGCTTCCAGCCAAACAAAAGACAGGCATATGAGCTAAACATTTACATTAGGTAGATACACTCCTTGGAGAGGTCAATCATGGGAGAAAAGAAGGGCTGTGTATGCACAGGGAGACAGCTAAGAGGGCAAGAGTACATGGAGGGAAGGACACAGGGAAGAGCTAACTGGGGAGGAAGTGGGAAGACAGCTATTGCATTGTGGAAAATTGTAATATGAGACAATGTATGTGAACTGCTGTATAGAAAATGAATTTGCTCTGTAAACTTTCACCCAAATCACAATAAAAATTTTAAAAAAACCTAAAACGAACTAGACAGGACCACTCCCTGAGCATTCTTGTAAAAGGATGTTTTGCTGTGGGTAAAAGAATTTTACCACCTTCTAGCCTGAAATTAGGGGTCCCAGGTGGCATTGCACTTGGACTACTAACCTAATTGTTGAGGTTCAAACCCAGTCGCACTGTAGAAGAAAGGCCTAGTGATCTGCTTCTGTAAAGATTACAGCCGAGAAAACCCTATGGAGCAGTTCTACTCTTTGTGGTACAGTGAGTTACTTAATACGGGCCTTCTAACTATATTCGTTTTTAAAATTTTTTATTATGATTTGGGTGAAAGTTTACAGATCAAATTAATTTTCCATATAGCATTCATACACATTTGTTTCATGACACTGACGGCAATCCCCACAATGGAACAGCTCCTTTCCCAGTTCCTCCCTGTGTCCTTCCTTCCTGTACACTCCTGCCCCCTGAGCCATCTCCCTGTGCAGCTACTGCCCTTCTGATCTCCCATGATTGATCATTCTAAGGAGTGTATCTACCTGGTGCAAACGTTCACCCCATCTGCCTATTGCTTTCTAGCCATATTCTTGAAGGCGCTCTGGTGGTGCAGTGATTAAAGCATTTGGCCAAAAGGTTGGCAGCTGTAACCCATCAGATGCTCCGTGGAAGAAACATAAGGCAGTTTGCTTCTGTAAAGATTTACAGCCTTGGAAAACTTATGGGGCAGTTCTACTCTGTCCTATAGGGTCGTTATGAGTTGGAATCAACTCAATGGCAATAAGTTTGTTTTTTGGTTTAGCCATAGTCTTTTTAACTCCCACCAAATGACTGGGTGGTACTATGCAAATGAGGTGGTTGTGGCCCACCAAAGGCATTGAATAGCTTGCTAATAATGTAAATGGGGTACACAGCACCCTTGTAGGGGTGAATCATGCAAATAAGGTGTATGGAACCCTGATGAGGGAGAGGATTGGTCAGTTTTTCCATTCACTAGCCTTAAAATGAGCCATCCCAGTGATGGAAAGGGGGACCTTTCCATGACCATGACCATGAAGAAGCATTGGGAGCAAATCATGTCCTTTGGAACTAGGATTACCATGCTAAGAACCTCTTAGACTGAGGAGACAGAGAGAGAGAGAGAGAGAGAGAGAGAGAGCGCTGTAACAAAGGAGACAGCAAGAAGCAGCATCAGAGAAATGGCGACAGCAGAGGCAGCAGAATCAAGAGACTGGCAGGAGACAGTGGAGTGGGCTTCCAGGCCCACAGAATGAAGCCTTCAGGCAAGAGGCTTGTTAGCAGAGAAGGGTGCCTCTGGGCACTTATTGGTGGCGCTAAATAGCTTTGTAACACTTGCCCAAGCAAGGGAGAGGCCAGGCCCAGCAGGAAAGAGGATAAGGCCAGAGACAGGCCTGCCTGTGGGCACAGCTGAGAAGGTGTCCTGACTGAAGAACTGTATCCTGAGTTGTTTCTGATCCTGAATTGTAACCTATTTCTTCCCCAATAAACCCCATAATCGTTAGTATTGTCTGTGACTTCTGTTTGGCCATTGCAATGGATTATTGAACCTAGCAGAGAAGTAGAGAATGTAGTGGGAGAGATGGAGGGATGACTGGTGTCAGAATTGGTAAAAAGACTGGAAACAGGAGGTATGTCTGACCTCTGCCTCATAGGAATCAGCCTTGGTCAATTGATGCTGATAATGATTCTCCTTCTCCATTTTGTAAAGTTAGAGATCAGACAACACCACCCTCATGCCATTTTTACATTCTGTAACACATGGCATTGCCATGAGCTGGAATCAACTAGCTTGCCTGCAATGGGTTTTGTTTGTTTGTTTAGCTGCAATTACTCTTTCTATTCCAGGAATGAGTGAGGCATAGAGACTAACAGAGACAAAGGACACATCAACCTTTTAACATTAAGATCTTTGCAGCATCTGGATTCATGTGGCTAATACAGAATGATGGGTTTTTAAAGAATAATCATGCTTTTCATGATCACTATGGAGCTGCAAAGATGGGTTCAAGAAAAACTGGTTTCCGACTCCCTGAGACCTCATGTATTCCCTTCCCTCCAGTTCAAACTAATCCCTGGAGTCCATCTGTCCATCACTTTAGCATCTTGCTGGTGGCCTCATGCCTCTCTGTCACATCCACCCACCACAACCCCACCCTGGCTCAAGGGTGCTTTCTGTTTTAACTCTCAAGAACTTGAGTATTGCTGGAAAAAATCATAACCCTATAAGCAGGATGGGAGTTCTGGTAGCATAGTGCCTAAGGCACTTGACTGCTAACCAGGAGGCTGGCGGTTCAAACCCACCAGCCACTCCTCAGAAGGAAGATGGGGCAATCTACTTCTGTAGTGATACAGTCTCAGAAACCCAAGGAGGGGTCACTATGAGTTGGGTCTGACTCGACTTGATGGCACATAACAGCAACAACAACATAAGCAGGATATGAGATCTACATGAAGCAATTTGGCCTTTGTCTTGGGTTCATGAGAGATACTCTCTAAAAAACAAAACAAAAATCCTTGGAATTTAAGTATCTTCAATAAGGACCACACACCTAACAGGTTAGGTGAGGTGATGAGGTGACTCTAGCCTGGGGACTTGGCCAGATCAGAAAGACCCACCCTCAGGGTCACCTCATGATATCAACTGACCTCAGGGAAGAGGGGCTAGAGTTTACATTACATAATGAGACTTCCAACAAAAACTCTGAACACAGAAGCTCCATGGGCTTCCCAGTTGAGGAAACCACCTGCTCTTGGGAGGATGATACGACCCCTCTGGGACATGGCAGTCCACATTGGGAATCCTCCCAGACCTTAGCCTAAGAGTCTTTTTATGCTGATCCTGATTTGTATCCTTTTTTACTATAATAAATCTGTAATCATAACATTTTCTGTGAGTTGTTCCAGCAGATCATTCCCACAACTCACAAGTCATTCCCACAACCCAAAGGAGTTGTGGGAACTAGCAAGTCAGGGAGCCCAGGGGGATTCCCAAGCTTGTGGCTGACAGTCTGAAGGACAGTGTCCTTTTAACTTGTGAGAAGTGGCTAAAGTTAGGGAGAGAAGTGCTGCATGTTGCAGCTAATGGCAGACTTTAGGAAAGTAAGAGTAAGGAATGTGATTTATGCTGATTATTAGCCTCATTCAGGGTCACTGCCAATTCCTGGCTCCAGCTTCAGGGGTGGGGATCCTCAGGGCCATATGGCATCTGGTCACTTCCTTGTCTCATTCTTCCCATCAGCCATTCCAAACCTTCATAATTCACCTGTCCCTGATGCCCACATTTGCTTCCCCTTAACCTAAGCAGATAGGAGCTCTAGTAGCACAGTGCCTAAGGCACTTGACTGCCAACCAGAAGGCTGGCGGTTCAAACCCACCAGCCACTCCTCGGAAGGTAGGTTGGGCATTCCTACTTCCGTAGTGATACTGCCTCGGAAACCCATGGAGGGATTGCTATGAGTCGGGCCGACTCGATGGCAAATAACAACAATAACAACCTAAGCAGATATGGAAACAGTGCAGGCCAAAAACTCCCTCTGCTTTCTGCTCTCCAACCCCCAGAAATGCATCCACAACCGTCCTTCCTCTTACCAACACGCCCAGCTCAGTGGGAGAGACGTTTCATGCCTTTGCCTAGCTCTGAATCCTATCTCCCATCCCATCCCTTTCCCTCCTCTTGTATCTTTTTTTTTTTCAAATGTGATTTGGGTGAAAATTCCTCTTCTTGTATCTTTAATCTCTCCTTTTTTTCTGGCTCTTTCGCTTATCATTTGCCTCTTCCATCTTGAATGTGCACGTGCATAGAACCTCTCCACTCCCC